AATACCTTTAGAACTAGAAAGGCCAATATTTGCTTTGGAGCAAATACAGCGATGGGTTCACCACATTTTACCACATGGCAGGGAAAGAATGAGAAACACAAGGGAAAACAATGATTTACATTGATATAACTATAATATGAAGTAACATACAACTAAAACAACAGTTGGATAGCTATTCCCTACTTTATTGGTTAGGATTTTTAATTGCATAATGCAAACTGTTGATTTTCAAAATAAAATAAAAAACGTTCATGCCCCGCATTCCAATGCTGGAGCAGAAAAGCTTGAAATACCTACCAAAACACTTGAATAAAGACATACTGTCAGTATGGAAATGCTCTGTGCGGGTGTTAATCAAGTTAAATCCCAACAGCCAATCAGCAAGAAATGCTCTGTGCAGGTGGAAATGCTCTGTGCAGGTGTTAATCAAGTTAAATCCCAACAGCCAATCAGCAAGAAGTATAGAGGAAAGCTGCATGCCTATTGGTTGATGCCCTGCATTCCATTGTGATGACTCATGCCCAGACGTGGTAAACACGGCACACTAACACAGTAATACATTTGCTATAACACAGCCAAAAAACTCAAATAAAACCATTCTAAAAGCTTGTATCACAAAAATTTAAAAAACGCCTAGGGGTATTTGCCCACTGTACCTCCATACCAAATTTCAGGACCTTAGGCCCTAAAATGAAGAAGCTGAATCCATTTAAAAAATGGCAGGAGAAGGAGGAGAAGGAGAAGGAGGAGAAGAAACATCAGAAAAAGCAATATGGGTTCACCACCACTTCGTGGTGTGGTGAACCCATAATAACTGTCTGACTCAAGCGACGTTATATCTATAATAGTAATGCGTTGAACCATCGTAAAGCATCTTCATGTATCTCATACAATGTTTCACTCTACACAGGAACTCCACCAATTGTCATGAAAGAAACTGTAATTGCACCGAACAGTACATGGAGGGACGACTTTAGATGTGGACCCGACTTTCCTGCACCAGGAGCAGACCCAGGCGAATGTGACCCCCATTCTTGTTTCCCATGCTGCTCAGCAGAAGGTCACTGTGGCAACGTTTGGCCAGAGCACTGCAACTGTCCCGGCTGCATTGACTACAGATTTCATAATCGTGAGTATCTTTCAATACTGTAAAAATCCATGTTCTTCAATATGGCATTACGATATTCACGACAGCTTGGGCTAAAAGGTATATCGTCTGTCATAAAACATAGTAAAGGGAATCGTTGCTGGTATTCCATTTTTAGAGAACGGCAGCAGGTGGCGTGCTGACCTCCGCTGTGGTCCAGACTTCCCAGCCCCAGGTGCCGCCTCAGGAGAATGTGACCCCGTGTCCTTCACTCCCTGCTGCTCGCTTTCCGGCTTCTGTGGAAGCACAGAGAAACACTGCAAGTGTGAAGGGTGTGTGGACTTCAGAACTGGCAGCTTGGAAAGCCAGACTAATCCTATCACCACCACAGGTACGGCAGAGTAATGTTATAGACTGAAATCTGTTTGAATGATGCCAAACCGTATCGTTTGCAATATATTTTGAAAAATGTGTCTATACATATGATATTTTCAAAATTATATAACAGTCAAGATACAACTAAATTTTATGTGGTGATTCTGGAAATATGGTAGTTTCTAGGTTGAAATCCTTTCTGAAGGAAACTTATTTTCAAAACATACTTTGTGCCCTTATTTTCGTTGACTCACCTTCATTTTACAAAACCGTTGGACAAAGATCCCAAGGTAAGCTCATGTCAAAACTGGAGTATTATGGAATCCTCGCAACAACACTAAATTGGCTAAAAGCAACACTAAATTGGTTAAAAGCTACCCTGACAGAGACCAGACAGAAGAGGAGCCTTCGGCTACAGTTATAGTAGCGTCAGGAGTTCCACAAGGAACTGTCCTGGAGCCATTACTTGTACATGTATATAAAGGACCTACCAGATCAGCTTGATTCAAAGGTGAAGTTATTTGCCGATGACTGTCTGTTATATGTAGAGCTGTCTACACATAACGACTCACAACGTTTGCAAAAATATCTGAACATCCTGAAAGAATGGCACAGCAAATGCAGTTTAACCCAGAAAAATTATACATTATGCATATATAAAAAAATGAACCCCACATGTTACAGGTTACCAGTTTTGTGGTAAAGCTTTGGCAACAACAAAAACAGACATTGGGAATGATTAAGCGCAACCTCTTGGTATGCCCAACAATAGTAAAATCACTTGCATAGATGTTTCAAAACGAAACGAGAATAAGCCGTGACCATATGGCATCAATATACAAAGATGCATGCATGATGTACAAAATGACTAATAAACTGGTCGACGTACCAACCACTCAGTATATAATACCAGTCCAGGAAAGAACAAGAAACAGCCATGCCTTCAAATGTCAGAGTTACATGTATCAATCAAGAAATAAGATGTTCAAAAACTCTTATTCTCCATTGTCGTAGAGTGAAACTCTTTGGCACCAATCAAAGCTGGGGCAAATATTGTGTGTAACAGGTCGTACGGTGTAAAACTAGCTGCCGCCGCGCGGCGTGGCTGGTGTGTTACACCAGGGCGGCTTTACCGGCTTATGATATTTTATGTTACTCACGTATTTACTGCAGGGGTAAATGTTGCACTCAACAAAATGGCCTCACAGAGCAGTTTGCTGAGATCAGAATATCCTGCGGAACGAGCTGTGGACGGAAACACAGGAACCATTCTGTACCCTCTAAAGGAATGCACACACACGGACCTGGAGTACGAGCCGTGGTGGAAGGTTGATCTTGGAGACACTTACGTCATCAGTCACGTGACAGTCATTAACCGCGGAGATTGTTGTGGTGAGCTGACTGGAAGCATTTCTTAATCGAGAGACTATCATCTATATTATCATTAATTGGCTCTGAGAAGTAGGAGTTGTTTGAATTTACATATAGAAGAATAGATCCTAAACCGGAATCCTAGAAAGCTGGGCTTGGTCGGTTGGTCATCGACCAGGTCTACTACTGTTCGGCTGTGCCAGCCGAATGTTTCAAAATGTTTACAACACTCAGATGGGGACATGGTCAGCTGGTAGCCGGCTGGTGTTCGGTAGTAGATAGGGGCGTGGACGGCAGTCAATTCGAACAGAAAGTTAAACACGGTTTCAATCTGGTCAGACTTGGTCAGCTGGTGTTAGGGGAAGGTTATGATGTGTAACAGGGGATTAAGGGTAGCAACAACTACGGGTATCTACAGAACTAAGTATTATGCTGAAATAGACACATATGAGAGCCAACTAGTTAACCACAGATATGTTTATAGTGTTTCAGTTAAGTGTAATAAATGAGACCATTATTGCGTGTATAATTATATATTCACCGTTTGCAATACATGTAGATTGTTGTTAGTTATGATCCTGTGTAACGGAAGCCATTCTAACCCTGGCGACCTTTAATGAACAACCCAGTATCAGTTGCGTTAACTAAAACAAGTGTAGCGTCTTGATATACTTAAGAACTGTCACCTAGCAAAATTTAATTTGCTTGAAATCATATCTCTCTACCAATAGCAAATGTCAAAACCTACAATGTGAATATCTGTTATCATACATATGCAAGTTACGCAATACTAAAATTAGCGACCCTAAGTTTAGGTTATTAAAATGTAATTATGTTGAGCCTAAATTTGTAACACATTTTGCAGGAGAACGACTGCGAAACTTCATGGTACGAGTCGGTCCTTATGAGGACTTCCGTGAAAATACACCATGTGGTGACATTTACACGGAAACTCCATCGGAAGGAGAGACTATCGACGTGCGGTGTGAGGAGCCCATCTCAGGGAGGTGGGTGTCTGTCCAGCTGATCGGCCGGGAGGACTACCTGTCTCTGTGTGAGGTACAGGTGTTTTCAGGGACAGGTAAGATGATATAATTTTTTACCTTCGCCAAGAAGGTAATGTTTTCAGTAGCGTTTGTCTGTTTGTGAACAGCATAACTCAAGAAGCTTTCTATGCATTGTCATGAAACTTAGTAGGTGGGTAGGTCTTGATGAGACATAGAAACGATTCTATTTTGGGCCTCCTGGCGGCTTTTGTTGGTACTGCGGCAGAACTTCCGGTTTTGATATCTCGTGATCTGGACATGCTAGGGTCACTAATTTTGGTTGGTAAATAGCTCTTGGGGTGAGAAAGAAGTGACATGAGTTTGGGCCCCCTAGCGGCTTGTTCTGGAACTGCGGGAGCGTTAGTTGAAAAATCTTCGAAGGAGGATAACTCAAGAACGGGTTGACGGATTGTCGTGATTTTTGGTGTGTAAGTAGCTAAAGAGATGCTTGACATAATCAGATGATGTATGCAAAACAGGGGCTTATTTGCATAATTGACTAGGAAATTCTATAAATCTGCTTCGTTCGGCCATTCGGCGCAACAAGGTGACCTCAATACGACTTTCCCCGACCGAAGTTAGGTACCCACTCACACATAGGTGGAGTGAGGAAAGTCGTGCCTTGATTGGTATAATTCGTCAAACAGAAAGATTAACATCATTTGGCGAAGGTAGGAGGTCGTGGAATTCTTGTTTAAATTAATGCGTAATGTTGCAAAATATCTGAAATTGCCACGAATGCAAACATTGGTGAAGCTTACCCAAAGGGTCACCAGGACTGGATTGCCTTAGTGTTGAAACACATAAAATTTACCAAAACAAGACTTTGTAGAATTTGTTTTAAGATAAAATAATCTTTAGTTAATATTTGTATCTGATGAAGGTTTGGAGTGATGTGTGGGATCGTAATTGTTCTGACAAGATGCAAAAAGCTACCCGTACCTACTGCACGATTTTAAGGTTTTAATTATACAACCATTTCGCATTTTGACCCTGTCAGCAAACTGCAACTATAAAGCACATTGGATCCTTTGCGGCCTCCAAATTTGCAAATGTAACTAAAATGCCAAAACGTTTCAAGTGAATTGTGACAATATATCTCTTTTTTTTCTGTTTGTAAGGCGAGATTCCTTTGGTTGATGGATACTCTTCTCGTCGTGGAGACTGCATTGGGAACGACATCTGGTCCATTTACCGAGACGCTACCTCACTGGAGGACTGTGCCCGACTGTGTACGAGTCACCCAGACTGTACCAGCTTCATGTTCTACAATAACCATAGGTGCTACCCAAAGACAAAGTCTTGTGCTGAAACTAACAAGACCAACCCAAGGAACGTGTTCTATGACAGGATTATCGGTACGATATTAAAACTTCTTTTAAAAAATTAAGATAAGAACATTAAAAACTCCAAGCTACAGTTACTTTAACTTTTAACAGATATTGTGAGGTATTAAACCTTTTTATTTCACATTGCTAATTGCAACCTTGCCTTTGTAGAAAAAGCCACAGGCAGAAAATGGCGGGAGGATTATCATTGCGGTTACGGATATTCGGCAGAAGGAGCTGATCCGGCAGAGTGTGATCCGCACTCATGTTTCCCATGCTGCTCTGCGGCTGGCTGGTGTGGAAACACACCTGACCACTGTGACTGTCCCGGATGTACAAACTACCAGGAATTCTATGGTAAGTGAGCATGAAAGTTCATCTGTGTTGGTACAAGTCATTATGGAATAAAGACTAAACGTTAACTTCCAACACTAATTACAATGAATTACCCCAAATTTTCGGTTGACTCCATCAACCTTTTTCACGGAATGAACCCGTCTACTCTTGGATTGTGACGTCAGAGACACGTGACCATAGTGGCGGGTCATACGTGCCTTCTCTGTTCAGGGTAGGTCTATGGGCTCTTATGTAGACCGTCTCTAGAGGAGTGAAGGAATTTATACTGGCAAAGTCCGGTCATTACATACTTTCTCTGGCCTCTTTAATACAAATTCAGATACAGAGGCGGATAGACCACTCTCTACAAGATCACCAAAGCAATGCTTTATTCCCCAGCTAATATTGTCAAGAAGGATATCAGCTCATAATATTCTGAAAAGGTATGGCAAAAAACGTACAAGCAAAGCATAACACGTTTCTATGTACAAATGTATCTTCACCTCAGGAATTGCACCAATTACATCAGCAAAGTTTGTACCAGAGGCAATAAAGAGATGGCGGGATGATTATCGGTGTGGTCCCGACTTTCCTGCACCAGGGGCGGACCCAGGCGAATGTGACCCCCATTCCTGCTTCCCGTGCTGCTCAGCGGCAGGTCACTGTGGTAACATCGGTGTAGAACATTGTGACTGCCCCGGGTGTGTGGACTATAGATTTTTTAGACGTAGGTATACATATCTATGAATTATGTAGACAGTACACATAGTAGCACAATTGCTATACGTCCAAAGTTTTAGAAAACTTTATATGCGGCACATGTCACAAGGTACACATGACATCTGCCAACCTGACAGTATAATACATTCGCGCTTAAGTGTCCTATAAATATTCTACTTTAAGCCTGTCCATGACAATTTTGTAAGGTTTCGGAACTACAAACAAGAAAGATAGCATCCAATATTGCAAAGGCATACGAGCCATCTTGTATTTAATGTTGCATACGATTCCTTTCTAAAAGTATACTAGTTTTCTAGTGGTTGACCATAGCGTCTGCTCCATCGTTCAGTTAAATGTATAACATGACATGCATCTAACGTACTCGTCAGAGAACGGCAGCAGGTGGCGTGCTGACCTCCGCTGTGGTCCAGACTTCCCAGCCCCAGGTGCCGCCTCAGGAGAATGTGACCCCGTGTCCTTCACTCCCTGCTGCTCGCTTTCCGGCTTCTGTGGAAGCACAGAGAAACACTGCAAGTGTGAAGGGTGTGTGGACTTCAGAACTGGCAGTGGAGTGTCCACCAACAGAACAGGTGCTCGGAAACTGACTTCAAGTTATTAGACAATTCGAGAGTATTATTACCCTCACGAAGAACCTCATAATAGACACATATTTTAGATTCAGTGTGTCTGATAACTGGATAATTCGTCGATTGAATCTGTTGATATTAAACATGTGTTGATGTTAGTGATAGTAAGGTTAAGTTTGATTTTTCCATAATTTTGGCACGATGAGTTTCTTTTTAAATATGACGTCGTTGCGAAATATGTTATTTATACACTTAAAGATGTGTCTTATTTTGCAATAGTCCATCCACAAGAGTGCCTAACAGACAGCGAAGGTACGTCCTACCGAGGTACAATACAACACACCAAATCAGGACTCACGTGCCAGCGCTGGGACACTTCTTTTCCACACGAGCACGAGTATCTGGAAAAGTATCCTAACAGTGGATTGGATGAGAACTACTGTAGAAACCCAGACGGTCAGCCAGATGCTGAGAGACCGTGGTGCTACACCATAGATCCAGACGTGAGGTGGGAGTACTGTGACATTCAGGAATGCAGTAAGTATCATATATTTACCTGGCTTTTCTGTTGTTTGTATTTTTTTCTCCACATTTTGCTTGTGCGCCTCATTTAAAACAATAAATTATTTTCCAATAATTCTCGTAGAGTGGAACTCGTTGGCACAAATCACAGCTGGGGCATCATCACTAGAAAAAACAACTACTACGGCGTGCCAGCGAAGCTGGTGTGTGACACCAGGGCGGTTATACAGGCTTTACAGGATTATGATTTTTTATATTACTCCCGTATTTACTGCAGGGGTAAATGTTGCACTCAACAAAATGGCCTCACAGAGCAGTTTGCTGAGATCAGAATATCCTGCGGAACGAGCTGTGGACGGAAACACAGGAACCATTCTGTACCCTCTAAAGGAATGCACACACACGGACCTGGAGTACGAGCCGTGGTGGAAGGTTGACCTTGGAGACACTTACGTCATCAGTCACGTGACAGTCATTAACCGCGGAGATTGTTGTGGTGAGCTGACTGGAAGCATTTCTTAATCGAGAGACTATCATCTATATTATCATTAATTGGCTCTGAGAAGTAGGAGTTGTTTGAATTTACATATAGAAGAATAGATCCTAAACCGGAATCCTAGAAAGCTGGGCTTGGTCGGTTGGTCATCGACCAGGTCTACTACTGTTCGGCTGTGCCAGCCGAATGTTTCAAAATGTTTACAACACTCAGATGGGGACATGGTCAGCTGGTAGCCGGCTGGTGTTCGGTAGTAGATAGGGGCGTGGACGGCAGTCAATTCGAACAGAAAGTTAAACACGGTTTCAATCTGGTCAGACTTGGTCAGCTGGTGTTAGGGGAAGGTTATGATGTGTAACAGGGGATTAAGGGTAGCAACAACTACGGGTATCTACAGAACTAAGTATTATGCTGAAATAGACACATATGAGAGCCAACTAGTTAACCACAGATATGTTTATAGTGTTTCAGTTAAGTGTAATAAATGAGACCATTATTGCGTGTATAATTATATATTCACCGTACATGTAGATTGTTGTTAGTTATGATCCTGTGTAACGGAAGCGATTCTAACCCTGGCGACCTTTTATGAACAACCCAGTATCAGTTGCGTTAACTAAAACAAGTGTAGCGTCTTGATGTACTTATGAACTGTTACCTAGCAAAATTTAATTTGCTTGAAATTATATCTCTCTACCAATAGCAAGTGTAAAAACCTACAATGTGAATATCTGTTATCATATTCAAGTTACGCAATACTAAATTAGCGACCCTAAGTTTAGGTTATCAAAATGTAATTATGTTGAGTCTAAATTTGTAACACATTTTGCAGGAGAACGACTGCGAAACTTCATGGTACGAGTCGGTCCTTATGAGGACTTCCGTGAAAATACACCATGTGGTGACATTTACTCGGAAACTCCATCGGAAGGAGAGACTATCGACGTGCGGTGTGAGGAGCCCATCTCAGGGAGGTGGGTGTCTGTCCAGCTGATCGGCCGGGAGGACTACCTGTCTCTGTGTGAGGTACAGGTGTTTTCAGGGACAGGTAAGATGATATAATTTTTTACCTTCGCCAAGAAGGTAATGTTTTTTGTCTGTTTGTGAACAGCATAACTCAAGGAGCTTTATTTGCATTGTCATGAAACTTGGTAGGTGGGTAGGTCTTGATGAGACATAGAAATCATTAGATTAGCGGCTTTTGTTGGTACTGCAGTGGAACTTCCGGTTTTGATATCTCGTGATCTGGACATGCTAGGGTCACTAATTTGGGATGTAGATAACTCTTTGACTAGGAAAGAAGTGACATGAGTTTGGGCCCCCTAGCGGCTTGTTCTGGAACTGCAGGAGCGTTAGTTGAACCATCTTCGAAGGAGGATAACTCAAGAACTGGTTGACGGATTGTGTAGGTAGCTAGAGTGATGCTTGACATAATCAAATGATGTATGCAAAACAGGAGCTTTTTTTTTCATAATTGATTAGGAAATTCTAAAAATCTGCTTCGTTCGATTATTGGACTATGAAACACATGTGACATGTAATTGAGAACAAGAAAAGGGTTAGGATATAGATTATGTAAATAAAGACTTAATTTGCATAAATAACGGAAACTGTTATAATTTCATAGTTGTAACTCCTGGGAATTTCATACTTCATACGCATTTGGAAGTTAAGTGAAGGCGAACATCAATAAACATAATTTATTCAAATCATGACCTCGTTTGTATAATTTATAAGGAAGTGATAGAATAGCCTTTTTTTCAAGATAAGGCTGTCATTGGGTGGAGTATATGAACAACTGATGTAATCATGCAAATGAGGCTTTATTTGCGAAGTCAATTATTAAGATTGAGTAATTCGTCAACCAGAAGGGTTAACATCATTTGGCGAAGGTAGGAGGTCATGGAACTCTTATTTAATGCGTAATGTTGCAAAATACCTGCAATTGCCACGAATGCAAACATTGGTGAAGCTTACCCAAAGGGTCACCAGGACTGGATTGCCTTAGTGTTGAAACACATAAAATTTACCAAAACCAGACTTTGTAGAAATTGTTTTACGATAAAATAATCTTTAGTTAATATTTGTAACTACGGTCTTGATTTCGAGTAGGCCATAGATGTTTGGGCAATAGGTACCTGACGCAGATTTCAGCGAAATAGCTGCTTTGGAACTACTTTAAGATGGAAATAGATAACACAGATGTTTTGATGTAATTGTGTTTTCATAATACTTAGTTTGTATGTCGCGATAGAGAATACTAAGGTGAAGTTTTAAAATATAGGAAATTTCGTCAGTCTGTCTGTCTGAAATTGTCTGTATTTCTAAAGATAACAAAACGCGGCCATATCTGCTGTGCACGACAAGACGAGGTATCAGCAAGCTGTTCTTAGACAGCTCGGCTCCTCCAGAAGTCATCCAAACACCCGACATGAGATCTGTTATAGGCGTGGCCTTCCACTGGCAAAAGCAGATGTTATTCTGTACTGATGTGCAAAGTAACGCCATCTCCAGAACGTATCTGAACGACACAAGGCAAAGGTAGGTTATCATTCATTTATATTTGTAAACACACTTCATCAACTCTTTGTTTGAAACCTGCTATTGTCTTATCACCTCTCTTTATTTGGATCTTTCTACTCCGTCTTTACTATATGTTGTTACAGTAGTATTTCTACGACAACTTTTCGATAAAGTTTTTGATACAATAATTGTATCAAAAATGTATGTTTAAAACCCTTAAGCTTGTCCTGTGGAGCCCATGTATATATAATTTCATTTAGAACCTTCATTTAGAACCTTGCCGCCTTACCACATAATAGTATACTATAGTTAAATGAAAATGAATAGCAACAGCATGAAAGTTCATCTGAGTTGGTAAATTACATTATGAAAAACTTTTCTCCAACTCAAAATTTGACTCACCAGAAATTTTCGACTGAATCACTCAGTCTTCCTCAGCTATCTGACCCAAATGCTGTGGACATGTGATTTTTCCCACGTGTGACGTCAGCAAAGGGTCACAGGTTGTCTGAAGTCGATATCGCCCCCCGTCCCGGTTGAGCGATGGTTGAAGTGCCCTGAGAGAAACAAGAAGAAGATGGTGCACTGCCCTTTCTAGACACTCATAGCAACTATCAACCAGGATAGGTCCCAGCGGGTTAGCATATACCGTAAGGCGACACACACGGACCAATATCTAAATTTTTTCTCAAACCACCCTTTGGACCACAAGTTGGGTGTGATCAAGACCCTTTTACATAGAGCTAATACCATCATCAGTGATCCTTCGGATAGAATTACCGAGATCGATCACGTTACAGAAGCCCTAAAGAGTGTGGCTACCCTCAGTGGCTCATTAGGAAAGCCTCCGAGCCCAGACAGCCCCGGTCTAAACCCCAAGATAGTCAGGGAACGGGAGGGAAAAACAGAAAAACACTTGTAGTCCTCCCATACGTAAAGGGTGTTTCTGAGCCCCTACGTAGAATCTTTGCTGCACACGGAGTGAGTACCTGTTTCAGACCTCATCGTACGTTAAGACAACTCCTTGTGGCACCTAAGGACAAAACTCCCAAGGAAGACAAATGTGGGGTTATCTACCACATAAGTTGCCAGGGAAACACTAACAGAGGCCCCTGTCGGGAAACGTATATCGGGGAAACTGAGCGCTCACTAAAAACCAGGTTTCTAGAACATAGACGACCCAGTTCTGTTGCATCTGAGGTGTCACAGCACATCCACATAGAGTCACCGGGACACACAGTGGATCTGGAGGGGGGCAGAATCTTGGATACCGAACAGGATTACTTGAAGAGAGGCATAAAAGAGGATATACACTTTAGGGCACTTCAACCATCGCTCAACCGGGACGGGGGGGGCGATATCGACTTCAGACAACCTTTGACCCTTTGCTGACGTCACACGTGGGAAAAATCTTGTGTCCACAGCATTTGGGTCAGATAGCTGAGGAAGACTGAGTGATTCAGTCGAAAATTTCTGGTGAGTCAAATTTTGAGTTGGAGAAAAGTTTAAGTTTTTCATAATGAATATTTAGCAAGACGACGCACTGGAATACGATTTCAAAGTTCCTACGTTTACATGTCTTACTTTATTTTCTATATGCACTCCTCTAATAGTGAGCTTATTGTGGATCAAAATCTCGTCACTCCGGAGTCCTTGGCTGTGGACTGGATAGGAGACAATCTGTTTTGGACTGATACGGGGAGACGTGTGATTGAGATGTCTAAACTTGATGGATCCCATCGACGAACTTTTCTCAGTGTAGACCTGGATAAGCCCAGAGGACTAGCAGTCGATCCTATCAATGGGTGAGTATTTTGCGTGAACACACAGTTGAACCACTCCACGGATCTAAGACGCGTTTTAAAAAAACCAATTTATAGCAAGGTTCCAACTGAGAAGGGCTGTGCCTCTACTGAGGCTATGGGAAGCGGCTGGGAAAAGTATATAAATTGGCCAAATAGATATCTCTAATATGCCAAGGACGTTCTTCAGCTATAAAGAGAACAGTTTGCCGCTGGGAGTGCAGGTTGACCAGAACCTCACTTTTGACGATCACATAGACCTTGTAGTGAAGAAGTTCAATAGGAGCATGGCCCAAGTAAGCAGGGTGAGAAAGTCACTTCTGCCAAAGAACAGGATAGAACTCATTCAAGCCCTGGTACTGACACATCTGGACTACTGTAGCTCAGTGTGGGCCAGCACATCTGCGAAGAACATAAAGCGACTGCAAGTGATACAGAACAGAGCAGCCAGGCTTGCCCTGGGATGCGACAGATACACAAGCAAGGACAGGTTGCTAGAGAAGCTGGGATGGCTACCAGTGAAGGACAGAGTTCACCAGAAAGGACTGTGAACTTTCAGTAGGATAATAAAAGAAAAACAACCCACATCATTGTATAAGAATATCACAATGCAGTCACATGGGTACCATACTAGAACATCAGACTCACAGACCATCCGCCTTCCTGAACCTCGCACAAATGCACAGAAAAGAAGATTTTTGTGTAGAATGTCCAGTGCCTGGAATGAAATGAAGTGGTGAAGATGTACATGTATATAGCCTTATTTTAATCTGTGTTAATATGTTGTAATTGCCAATGTATTTATGTTTTGTAAATGTGTCATGTGTGTCTTGAAGGACCACAGGAAGAATAGCTACATTTGTTGTAAGCTAAGTGTGGATCCCAATAAAGTCAAAGTCATGCCGCCCCGGACCAACTATCTAGTTGGCGAAGCCTTGTAGAGGGTAAGGGGCTGTGGTGTAATTTCCATGTTGGCAAGGAGCAAAGGATCAGATCTGCCCTGTGTTGAGCCTGGAAACGGTCTGGAGGTTGAAACTGCTTAATAATGGTGAGAGATTATGCTAGCAATGGATATCATGAAAATGGCAGGATGACAAGAAACTACGTGTACATGAATAACCAAAAAGGTTTGGGAAGATACAAGGCATGGGTGTGACGAAAAAGTCAATGTAATACTTGAAAGGCCGACATTTGCTTTGGAGCAAATGCAGCGGATGACTTAACCACATTTTACGACATGGCAGGGAAAGGAAAAATTTAAGGGCTTTACATTGATAAAACTATTGTATGAAATGACATACAACTAAGAATACAACAGTTGGATAGCTCTCCCCTACATTTTTGGTTAGGATTTTATTTGCATAATGCAAGCTGTTGAGTTTCAAGATAAAGAAGCGTTTATGCCCCGCATTCCAATGCTTAAGCAGGAGAGTTTGACATGCCTACCAAAACAGTGTCAATATGGTATGGGTTAGTTTAGTGTTCATGCAGTTAACCCAATTAAATCCCAACAGCCAATCAGCAAGAAGAATAAAGGAAAGCTGCATTCCTGTTGGATCTTTCTGTGCATGCCATTCTGAAACGAAATGAAACAGTTTTAAAAGCATGTATCCAAAAAAATCCATGCGAACTTTCTGGTTATTTGGCTGAAAAATGACCGACTTGACATATTTCAAGAAATGGCAGGAGGAGAAGAAGAAGAAGGAAAAACATCAGAGAACACAATATATTTTACCAATCTACTTCGTGGTGTGGTGAAGCCATAAATAGATGTCAGACACTAGTCAATACACATCAAAAGGTTTATCGTCTCACTGTGGTAGACGTCTATTTGCAATCATTTTGGTTTTTAACCTCCTTGGTTAGATTTAACTCCTTTACTTAAGATAAATCTAGCTTAGATGTATCTTCACATATCTAGCTGCCATCTACCCAACAGGTAACGCTGTTGTTCAGGTTTACAGCTGCTATCTATAAAACTACATTTCAATCCCGTAACTTTAAATTCGAAGATTAAGAAAGAAATGTTTCCAAAGAAATACTTTTGTGGGAGGTCTGGATTTGAATGGATACATACTGCTGTCTGCGGTCTATGTATAATTAAATATAATTGCCCGTAATCGTCTTGAGTGGAGGTGTGAAAACAATCGATTCACAGTCATGAGGCTTGATGAAGGTTGACAGGCGAAGGAAGGAAATCTACCAGAATTTAGATTTTTAAACTTTAAAACCCGTGACCAAACCCTTCAAGTTGGGTTACAAAGTTGAAATCAGGTGCAATTTGTACATATGAATATGTATAGTCGGTATATATGAATCAGCTTTCAGTACAACTACTTTATCCCCGTATATCTAGTTTTTATCTATGTCAGCGCTCGCTCAGTATTAGCAACCGGACTGCCTAGACAGAATGCTGTCAGAGATTTGCGCTGAGGAAATAATTAACTGCATGTTTAAATCTCTACCTTTCCCTGATCATAGCAATCTCCTATGGAAGATTATTTCGAAGTTCAACAGTTGCTGGTAGAAAAGTTCACTCGTGATTGACGGAGTGGGAGACAGGGATCTCCAGAGTGTTCTTGTGCTAGGATTTTGACTGGCGTGTCACCCGCCGCACTTCTGTATGTTTAGGAATAGGGCCATTAAGAAGGGCTGGTGCCTCTCTGTGGTACATACGGTGGAGGAGAGTCAATGCGCCAACTTCCCTGCGATGGTCCAAAGGTTGGATACCTGCCTTGGTCAGACCAGTTTCATGATTTTCAAGGCTCTCCTTTGAATTGAGTCAAGCCTTGCTAGCTCGGTTTCGCAAGCAGACATCCATACAGTTGGGGCATACTCCATGCGTGATCTCACCATGATTTTGTATATGGTTGCTCTTTGAGTTGGTTTCAGGTTAGGAGACACCTTTCTGAGTAGGCCTAGACACGTACCCGCATCTGCAGTACGTGTATAGTTCCAGTTTATACGGTTCTTGTGTATAGTGATACCCAGTAGCTCTACCTCGTCCACCTTCCTGAGTATGGAGTCCACGGAAGGGTGAGAGTCTGGGCATCATGTTTACGGCTGATGGTGACGCTTTCACATTTATCTGCTCCAAAGAAAACATTCCAGTTCTTTGGATTGTTTGTTTTCTTTTATGCTCAGAACTGAAGTGCCGTCTGCATATAGGGCTTATTCGCCACAGATTGTCACGTGACTCTCCCCCTGGCAACGACCATTGTCCGCCATTTTGGAGTGCAGCATGGTGCCTATCGCTATGGTACGCTATGCAAACTCTTGGCGATAGTTGCATAGTTTGGGCCAGAATCTACGTTTTGGACACTTTTCTTGTTAGTAGCATTGTCCTTGGGGTTGTTCTGGCTCCGTGTCCACGTCTCATGTTGTCAAGATTGGTTTTATCTTTTGATCGGAAATCGGTGAGTTTTACTCTGGCGTAGGGGGCTGTAGATGGAAACGTGGGTAGCCATAAACACGGTAAATCTGTCGGAGCTACTTGTCCCTTTACTCTGTGGTAAATGTCCATGTAAAACAGGGCGCTGGCAACGTGTAACACTCAAATTGTCCAGCCAGAGTCGCGGCCGCGTGCAGACTAAGAATAGCCTGATTTTAAACTTAAAAACTTTCAGCCATGTCGTCAATATAGATAAAAACAAAAGTGGGCCCAGAATAGAGCCTTGGTGGACTCCTGCATTTATGACCTGGACTCAACATCATCGACAGTAACTTTCAGTATTTTAGCGTCCATGTAGGTTGTGTAGTCGATCCCTGGAATGATTCGGAAAACCCTGTGTCCAGCCGAAGTCTTTAGGACTGTGTAATGCCTGGACTGCACACTCACAGGTGGGTCGGACTAAGGTAGTACGAGTATATGTGGTGACAAGGTCTTCTGTAGTAGCTCTAAATGATTTATGTCTTCTCAGGAAGAAGAGCCTATGGCTTCATTTCTTGACCATGTAGTCAACCTGGGCGTTCCATTTCACATTAGCTTGTATATGGAGACCCAGGAGTTTAGGTACTCGAAATTTACTGGGGGATAGTTGTCATATTTTTAGTGAGGGTAATTGTTAAATTGTGGTACAGCTTTTGAGAAGTACAGAAACATCACTTTACATTTACGGGGGTGAAGTTTCGTGTTTTTTTCTCCTGACTATCTATTGGCTGAGGTTATCAAGATCCTGTTGTATGCAAGGAGAGTCCCTAACTAATAGTCAGGTCTGTGGAAGGCCACATGTTGTGCCTTTCCAATCTAGGAACCTGTTCTTTTGAGGTGGAATAGATTTAGTATCGATGGAACGCGTGTGGAACAAAAGAAAGAAAACAAAAAAACATGTGCATCTAGAAAACTATCTCTAAACAATTCTATTGCTGAATTCAATTTGCAAAATTAGTTTCCTAAAATATAGTCCTAATGGGAACAATCGTCTTGTTATGTGTTCTTTGGTACCTGTTTACCAACTGGCCACCTTCGCGTCCTTATTCCCCACTACATGCCAAAAATATTCACGCTAAAATAAACAAGCAAAGGAACGTACTTACAATGCTCTATGCATACTGATAAGATGAAACAAACATCACTTCTACAAAACGAATGAATAATCTATTACAAAATAACATCCTGTCGCCAGTAAATCATTTAAACAAGCTGTGGAATTTTTCTATAGGTACCTGTTTCTTGGTGACTGGGGAGATGATGCCAAAATAGAACGTATCACTCTGGATGGGAAGGTCAGGGAAGTTCTGGTGAGCTCCGGTCTAAAGTATCCCAACGGCATCGCCTTAGGTAATCCATGTTGACTTGTAACAAATAATGATTCTTTTTACTTTGGATGTGTTGATATGTATTTTATTGTCAACATTTGATATCGACGTATCACCCTTTCGATAATTTCTATATCTTTCAAGTTTTAAAGAACAGCAACATAGAGAAATTATTTTATGTAAAATAGTACATTTTCTCACCCGAAGGAGTTGTGATGTGTGAAAAACGGTGCCTGGATTTTTATGCCTACGATCATTCAAGCCTTTGGATGCATAAAAGATATGTTTTATTTAAACGCAAAACTTAAGAACATGTAGTCTTAAAACCCTTACATACCTGTGAAAAGTATTGTGTAGAATAGAATGAGTGTGAACGACCTTATTAAAGTATACCTACTCTCATCCGCCACGTACTGGAATATGGTCGTGTGTTACTCGTTGTCAGAGTCAGAAGGTTTTGCTTGGTACAGAATTTATTATATTGTATACGAGGGATGTATTTATCGCCTGCCGTGTGCCTTGTAATTTGTAATTATGTAGGCAAACTCTTTGCAATTCAGAGAGTCTTATGCCTGCTGTAAGGTTTGGTTTTTGGTGTCACGAAAAAGGAATGAAAAAACAACAACGGGTGTACATGGCTTAGTTTCAGTGTTTTTCTCTTTGCAGATATACGACAACGCCGTCTGTATTGGACAGACGCTGGACTGAAGAGAATCGAGTCTATAACCATACATGGAAAAGACCGGAAGCTGCTTGTAGAGGAGGAATTTGCACCTCATCCATTTGGAATCACAGTATCCGAAGACAGGATCTTTTGGACAGACTGGAGACTTAGTTAGTTCAAATTTGTATCAAATTAACAAAACTAAAAAGGCCAACGTAGTTCAGCCATAATTGTAGATTCCTATTGTTTTAAGGATTCGTCGTTATTACAGTGTTTATGTATATTTAAGGCTTAAAGTTTGTATTTGTTATATTTTGTCAGGTTATTATGAATTGATAAGACTGATTCTCTAATACACCTACTACTTTATAACGTTTAATATCTTATCTAGAGCTAAATATAAATAGATGACTGTTACAATGGAACAATACATTTCACTTGCAGATTCCGTCATCAGTGCAGAGAAGGACACCGGCAGAAACCCAACTGTAGTCTATGAGTCGGTGGGGAACATGTATAACATTAAGTTGGTGGACAAACACAGGCAGCCAGGTAAAATGGGTTATGCATGGCTTTGAGTGAGAATATCTCCCTCTCTATCCCCTCCCCCTCTCTCTCTCTCTCTACCTACCTACCTACCTACCTACCTATGTATCTTCCTTGATTGCGAATTACGACAGACGTAATCTCGGGGTGGTGATTATTAATTATTATTAGACAAGAGTTACAATCAGATGAAGTTTACTGAGTAACCATTATATCTGCCTTTAACAGGAACAAGTCCTTGTGGTATAAACAATGGTGGGTGTAGTCATTTCTGTCTCAACACGCCGGCTGGTCACACTTGTGCGTGCCCTGATAATCTTCAGCTAGACGGAAGTACCTGTAGAAGAGGTATTGCTAGTATATGACGTTTCCTCATTTGTGTACATATTTTGAAAAGTACAGCATTTTCATCCCCATATCCTGGATCTTCTACATAATGCCAATGCCTAAAAGGGAGTGCGTTGATGAAGGTTTGGAGTGATATGTGGAATCGTAATTGTTCTGACAAGATGCAAAAAGCTACCCGTACCTACTGCACGATTTTAAGGTTTTAATTATACAACCATTTCACATTTTGACCCTGTCAGCAAACTGCAACTATAAAGCACATTGGATCCTTTGAGGCCTCCAAATGTAACTAAAATGCCAAAACGTTTCAAGTGAATTGTGACAATATATCTCTTTTTTTCTGTTTGTAAGGCGAGATTCCTTTGGTTGATGGATACTCTTCTCGTCGTGGAGACTGCATTGGGAACGACATCTGGTCCATTTACCGAGACGCTACCTCACTGGAGGACTGTGCCCGACTGTGTACGAGTCACTCAGACTGTACCAGCTTCATGTTCTACAATAACCATAGGTGCTACCCAAAGACAAAGTCTTGTGCTGAAACTAACAAGACCAACCCAAGGAACGTGTTCTATGACAGGATTATCGGTACGATATTAAAACTTCTTTTAAAAAATTAAGATAAGAACATTAAAAACTCCAAGCTACAGTTACTTTAACTTTTAACAGATATTGTGAGGTATTAAACCTTTTTACTTCACATTGCTAATTGCAACCTTGCCTTTGTAGAAAAAGCCACAGGCAGAAAATGGCGGGAGGATTATCATTGCGGTTACGGATATTCGGCAGAAGGAGCTGATCCGGCAGAGTGTGATCCGCACTCATGTTTCCCATGCTGCTCTGCGGCTGGCTGGTGTGGAAACACACCTGACCACTGTGACTGTCCCGGATGTACAAACTACCAGGAATTCTATGGTAAGTGAGCATGAAAGTTCATCTGTGTTGGTACAAGTCATTATGAAATAAAGAATAAACGTTAACTTCCAACACTAATTACAATGAATTACCCCAAATTTTCGGTTGACTCCATCAACCTTTTTCACGGAATGAACCCGTCTACTCTTGGATTGTGACGTCAGAGACACGTGACCATAGTGGCGGGTCATACGTGCCTTCTCTGTTCAGGGTAGGTCTATGGGCTCTTATGTAGACCGTCTCTAGAGGAGTGAAGGAATTTATACTGGCAAAGTCCGGTCATTGCATACTTTTTCTGGCCTCTTTAATACAAAGTCAGATACAGAGGCGGATAGACCACTCTCTACAAGATCACCAAAGAAATGCTTTATTCCCCAGCTAATATTGTCAAGAAGGATATCAGCTCATAATATTCTGAAAAGGTATGGCAAAAAACGTACAAGCAAAGCATAACACGTTTCTATGTACAAATGTATCTTCACCTCAGGAATTGCACCATTTACATCAGCAAAGTTTGTACCAGAGGCAATTAAGAGATGGCGGGATGATTATCGGTGTGGTCCCGACTTTCCTGCACCAGGGGCGGACCCAGGCGAATGTGACCCCCATTCCTGCTTCCCGTGCTGCTCAGCGGCAGGTCACTGTGGTAACATCGGTGTAGAACATTGTGACTGCCCCGGGTGTGTGGACTATAGATTTTTTAGACGTAGGTATACATATCTATGAATTATGTAGACAGTACACATAGTAGCACAATTGCCATACGTCAAAGTTTTAGAAAACTATATATTCGGCACATGTCAAAAGATGCACATAACATTTGCCAACCTGACAGTATAATACATTCGCGCTTATGTGTCTTATAAATATTCTACTTTAAGCCTGTCCATGACAATTTTGTAAGGTTTCGGAACTACAAACAACAAGAAAGATTGCATCCAATATTGCAAATGCATACGAGCCATCTTGCATACGATTCCTTTCTAAAAAGTATACTAGTTTTCTAGTGGTTGACGATAGCGTCTACTCCATCGTTTAGTTGAATGTATAACATGACATGCATCTAATGTGCTCGTCAGAGAACGGCAGCAGGTGGCGTGCTGACCTCCGCTGTGGTCCAGACTTCCCAGCCCCAGGTGCCGCCTCAGGAGAATGTGACCCCGTGTCCTTCACTCCCTGCTGCTCGCTTTCCGGCTTCTGTGGAAGCACAGAGAAACACTGCAAGTGTGAAGGGTGTGTGGACTTCAGAACTGGCAGTGGAGTGTCCACCAACAGAACAGGTGCTCGGAAACTGACTTCAAGTTATTAGACAATTCGAGAGTATTATTACCCTCACGAAGAACCTCATAATAGACACATATTTTAGATTCAGTGTGTCTGATAACTCGATAATTCGTCGATTGAATTAGTTGATATTAAACATGTGTTGATGTTAGTGATAGTAAGGTTAAGTTTGATTTTTCCATAATTTTGGCACGATGAGTTTCTTTTTGAATATGACGTCGTTACGAAATATGTTATTTATACACTTAAAGATGTGTCTTATTTTGCAATAGTCCATCCACAAGAGTGCCTAACAGACAGCGAAGGTACGTCCTACCGAGGTACAATACAACACACCAAATCAGGACTCACGTGCCAGCGCTGGGACACTTCTTTTCCACACGAGCACGAGTATCTGGAAAAGTATCCTAACAGTGGATTGGATGAGAACTACTGTAGAAACCCAGACGGTCAGCCAGATGCTGAGAGACCGTGGTGCTACACCATAGATCCAGACGTGAGGTGGGAGTACTGTGACATTCAGGAATGCAGTAAGTATCATATATTTACCTGGCTTTTCTGTTGTTTGTATTTTTTTCTCCACAATACATTACGCTTGTGCGTCCCATTTAAAACAATAAAGTTGATTTAAATCTTTATCAAAATGGCTTTAAATTCACTTGTTCTATTTCTTTCAGTAGATGGGTGTGACAACATGTCATGTGACTGGCACAAGGGCCAAATGTGTGGAGGTAAATGTACCTAGAATCAAGAATAGCCCTATTTTCATTAATTTCACAGTTGTACAACTATTAAAGGCAAACAAGATATCCTGTAGTTGTGCTCATCACTTCCTGTTTATCAATATAATTACATTAAAAAGTGGTCATCGTAGGTTAACATTAGTATTTTCCCCGACTAATTTGTTTACTAGATAAATAGTTTATCATCAAGCACTAAAATTAGAATATAGCTAGGCTAAAGACATTGGTTCTTTGAGGATTTTGTCCTAAACCAGTCACTCTTAACAATACAATGATAATTGTTGACAAGCACGTGTACTGATATTTATAATGTGACAATCCATCTAAAAACCAATTTCTTAAAAAGATTACTGTGGTCGGTACAAGGTTATTGTATCAGGAATTATATCGTTTTCTGTCCTAGCTATTTCTTTGCATTGAAGTTCCTTCTGATGTTCTATTACATTAGATTAATCATATCTCACCACATGACGTTCCCGCCCTAGGGCATGGTGTATGTCAATGTGGGAGGTGTGAATGTGAAGGAGGCTGGACTGGTGCGGCTTGTGAATGTTCGGAAAGTGTTGACAGCTGCCGATCATCAAATGGGGTTAATATGGAGTTTTTTGTAAACTTCAGTTTGATTAGCAGTTTCGTATAGCAGTGAAAATTAGACACTCACCACTTGTTGAAGAGGGTGTTTGCTTGTTTCGCATAACCGTAAACCGCCTTTAGGCGTAACACATGAGCTGTGTAAGACCAAAGTCGTGTTAAGTGCCTTTCTCAAGGGCACAAGATCGGTGACGTGTACGATTCGAACCCGGGACCTCTTGGTCCTGAGCCGAGCAAGCTACCGCTACGCCACGTGACCCCACCGTTTGTGTATCAATCATTTAGGTCTGTTAGTCTATTAGTCTATTAGGTTGTATTATGCTTTAATTAAATAAAATGTTGTATAAGTTGTGCATTTGTACGACCGTTTGACGTAAATAAGTCTAGCAATTAATGTGACAGAAATCTACATGATGTAATACTATATTGCACGACAATTGTACATGACATAATGCATGGCAACATCTATATAGTTAAAAAAAGTATAGAATAAAACGTAACATCCTAATTCCTAAAACAAGAATGGCTAGTATTATAATAATAATGTACAATCGAGTAGGGCCAATCATTAGTTTAAATTTTTTCTTATAATATTGTGTAAGATTGTGCAAGATATATTAGCTATTGTGAAGTATCTAAAGTTATATGATACATGAATCAAACACTTCTTAACAATTTTTTCTCAGCTGATCTGTAACAACCACGGTGAGTGCAATTGTGGTATCTGCAGGTGTAATCCGTCCACCTTCTACTATGGACCGCAGTGTGATGACTGTGCGGTAGGTACTGTACTCGACGACTTCATAAAGGCCTATTATATTCCAACACGCTACTGGGAAGAAAGACTAATAATACTTGGCAAGTTTAGTGTAACAAATATCTTGTTCATGGAAATATTATTTTTAGTATTTTCAATAACTAATAATAATTAATAACTAGTAAAATTCTAAACTACACTATACTAAGCTAAACTTACAGTAAACTAAGAAGAATGCTCCATGATATGATTGCCGATATCCAGGATGATGTTCTAGATAACAATACAAAAGAATTATGTAATTACAATTCCGTAACATTTTCCTTTTACTGAACAAAGGCCGAATGATTTGACTTCCTACTGATTGATTGCGCTACAAAAAATAGTGTACGCTACAAAAAGTTACTAAGCTTGTATTCCCCTAATCACGGTGTATGATATGCAACAAATCTTCATCTGTCAGTGGAACGTAGAACCAAACTCAATTGTTCATGGGTAGGTCTGTAATTGATATCCGTTGTGCAAAATAACAGTAAAGTTAATAGAATGTGAAGCAATCTTGTGAAGCTTATCATGGCTATTATCACACCTAGACCTGCCCTGGAATTTGCGGAGAGCTCAGAGAATGTGGGGAATGCCTTATCAGCGGTATCAGGGATTGTAGGAAATTTTGCGGTGGGGTGACGATAGCCCAAACACAAGACATCAACACAGGTTTGGGTATATTTATTGTATTTGCTTGGTACTGTTATCCACCAGAAGTCACGATGGCATTGTTCTTTATTAAGAATGTCGGTCGCTTTCCTGGCATCCAGTACTTGAAGGAAATGGGTCAAAAGTGCCTAAAGTCGATACATGTCTCTGTCCCGGTTCAAGATGGGCTGATGGGACCAGCTCTTGACTAACATTTGATTAGTGGAGACAGGGAAAATAAATCTCAATGGTAGTCTATTTACCCATGAGACGACCCTTTGCGTGGTGTGGCTCTCCTGGCTTTTATTCTTCCCTTTTCTGGCATATTTTTAGGATCCGTACGCGCAGGATTTATATTTATGCAAACGCTCGATACAATTTATAAGACAAGTATCTTGTTCAAGTACAAAATGACTGCACTCAACAATGGCAAATCTCATGCACTAAGACTGACTTTTTTTTCTTTAGAGTCATCTAAGCTCTGCAAGTTCAAGTCCACTAGTGACACAGAATTCGAGTTTACCTACGGGTATGACACAAAGGGCGGTGCAGTCATTGCAAGCCACCGTAAGAGCATTTCAATTATTTATATCTGAGTTAAATGAAAATAGTTAACAACAAGAATTCCGAGATTTCATACCTCCATGAAATATGGGCTTGATATGTAAATGTAAATTTCCTCTTTAATCATGCAAATTACCTCCGCATTAACATGATATATGCATCGTGATGTATGTTAACTTTTGATTAACTTACAGATGTCCCAAGTATGACATTCCCATTATTCAACATTAAGAAATCATAGAATTTTTGCATAAATTATGCAAATTAGGTCATCATTTGCATAATTAGTATCTGTTGATGTTCTGCCTGCCACAGGTTATACATTACATGTATGAAAGTAGTATAATGTAAAACACTGTAATCATAGAATTTCCTCATTAATTATGCAAATAAAGTCCTCATTTGCATAATTTACATTTAATCATGTACACCTCTCTCTCTCAGCTACCTACACACCAAAAATTATGAAAATATGTTGTTCCTATCTGGACTTATTGGCTTTTAAACATTTCGCCAGAAAGTGCCCTGCAGTTCCAGAACAAGCTGCTAGGGGGACCAAACTCACATCACTTATTCCTGACAGGAAAAGCAATCTGTCACCAAAACATCAAGACCATAGCATGTTCAGGACAAAAGATACAAAAACCGGAAGTTCTGCTACAATACCAAGGTCATCCACCAGGAGGCCCATATTTGACCTTGACGTTTGTCTTCCTAAGACTTACCAACATACCAAATATCATCATAATCCATAAAGGCGTTCTGAAGTTATGCTGACCACAAAGTTGCGGAAACACAGACAGACACACAGACAGACAGACAGACAGACACACCAAAAACAATACCTCCATTTTTCATGGAGGTAAAAACTGTCATCACTTAGTGAATTGTAAGACCAACATCTTTGAAATATACATATATATGATAATGTTATGGAGAAAGAGAGAGAGGCTACTTACAAAACTATTAGAAAAACTACTATTGTTATATTTGGCGAGAATGGGATTGCCATGCTGTTTTGCTTTCTGTTATACCCAGAGCCCGAATCTTGTCCCACGAGGCAGTTAAGATGCACTTCCGGCGAGTGTATTTCAGTGGACCTGATCTGTGACCGGAAACCTGACTGTGATGACGGAAGCGACGAGGAAGGCTGTGGTGAGATTTATCAATATTCTATATCGATATAAATTAGCTAATAGAAACCCTCTATGTTTTTACTATGTACTGTGTCCGTGGCGTGTTCTAGAAGGGAGTTTTAAAAAACATTGTTGTAGGCCATAAGTAATTTGGTAAATTCTAACCATATTTAGTTGTGCACTTACTTGATTTTTCGGGTATATTCAATTGTGCACTTAGTTGATTTTTTGTGTATAACATAGATCATCCATGCCAGAATACAGATAGTTAAAAGAAGTACTATTTTCTGATTTAACAAAATATACCGCGGTGACTTTTTAATGTTATGTATCATTTATTCCATCAAGTAAACATTCCAGTTTTGAATTGCTGCTGCCTGGTAATCAATTTAGATTATTATGATATCACAGTAAAACAACAGGTAGTTGGTTTAGAACCTACTGATTGCTTATTTTGAAACGGTCATTTCCGAAGCAAAAATTCAAATGTACTTCTCTTAAATCGCTTTCGGTTCGCGTTTTGAAGTCATGAATGTGTTTGTGAAGCATATAATGGAAATGTATGGTTACTGTCTAGTTGCCTCCGGGGGAGGAGATATCCTTCCGCGGAAGGGCTATGTGAGAGATTTAGAATTTCACGTTCGCAGCACTCAGTTGGTGTAAGGCGTCCCACGGTTGACCACAGCAAAGATCTCATTTTATATTATAATGACCTACTTGAATATTGTAATGAGCCAAATGCAGTCTTGAAGCTTGTACATATGCAACAGTTTGAGTGATAACCCAGTGCCTCTGCCCCGCCTGCCGTTTTGCATTTGATTTGCGCGCTAATTCCATCCTGTGGAGTTAATTGGTACCCCTCTTTTGTTTGCAATTGGCTGATCAAGAGCAGAACGGATGTCAGGCTTGCATAAATACTAGTAACACAGACAAAACAAGTGTAAGCAATGATCAACAAGTTCTATTTGAAGCTCTTGCTGTAAGTTACAACACATTTATTCTGATCTGAATCTGGCCCCCAAATAGCCTGATTAAATCGCTTTTGCCGGCCGCCCAACATCCAGTGGCGGACTATGTAGGGAGCCCCCCGGAGCTTGGGTTACATAGGCTAGCCCCCAAACAACCTGAAGATATATGCAAGTTACCTCCAGCATGACCTACAAAGGGCCCCTTTAGGAAGGGCCACGAATATTAGAACCCATAAAAAATGGGGATAACTGACAAGGAGAATGGGCCACAGTGATTCCCTGTAACACTAACAGATAAACATGGCCTCCCGAGCTCACCCAACCATCATGATGGTATATATAACCTCCTTGGTTAAGAGTCGGGAGCAAGGTCGGCTATAGTGTTCGGCTGTGCCAGTTTAGTATCTAAAACATTAGGGTGTGGACAGTATGTTATTAGAAATTATTTGGAACATCTTGGAAAAGGTTTAGCCCCAACTATTTCCGGTAAAGCTAATCTCTGCAAATTCACCCAGTATTGACCCGTTCAGACTATATGCCAGACAGTTCCCAGCCTCAATACACATGCTAGGCCCTGTTATTAGACTCGGTTAAACAAAGGAGACATGATATACCAAGAGACCATGGAGTTTGGTTAGACCAAGGAGGTTAGACCCTGTGAAAAAACTTTCGGAAGGGAAATGCTGTCCTCTGGATTGAGAAGGTACATAACGGCCCTGGTAACAGTCTGGCACCCAGGCTATGAGCCGTATAAACCTTTCATTCAACTGTTGTCAATTTGTCATTTTCTTTCAAGACCTATATTGAAAAAAAGGAAAGCTGGGCCGAGCTGTAGTGAACAATTACTGCGCATAACAAAAGACAGCCAACCTTTTGTCTTGTGGCAAGGGCAAATTACAGATAATTACGTCTCATAGAGGTGCTAAATACACGACTAATTGGCCTACAGACGTGATTGACAGGTAGAATTTGCTATTAAAGAAGGTAAAGATTCATAATCTTAACTTTGAAGCGTTTTGAGGAACTATAGCCATGCCCAGGGAACGTCAGATTCAAAGTAGAATGATTGGTTATGTCCTGAACTACCCAAACCTGTTTAGATCCTTTTGCTTATCATGAACTGTCTTTTGATATAGGGCAAGGAAGTTAGGGTTACCCTAAAATTATGGCATTGAAATGGACAAAAACATATTTCATAAAAAGTAGGAATAATATTTCAAATATATCAAAACAGTTTCTAAATGGTGACAGATGTAAGAATGTACCCTCCAAAAAGCGTCTGTCTATGATGTTGGCTATAGTTCCTCGATTTACGTTTTCTGTTTAAGAATTATGCATCATTTCAGACATAGAAATATGCAAATATAAGGAATATAACAACATGAAAGTAATATTTCAACACTCAACAAGTTGTATTTTGCCTTTTCCCCAAGTTTGAACCATTTCTGACCATCTACGGCTGAGTTATGGCATTTTTCCGAAAGGACCTGAAAAATCAGTAAATTGACACTGTGGGACGCCTTACACCAACTGAGCAGTTTCTCGCGTTTGGGTGGACGGATTCTTTTGGGACTCGGTATATGTTTTTCTATTGGGCTGTAGATGATGCACGTTCTTTTGTTTTTATTGCACATGTGTTTTCGGGCGGGAAAATGGTTCCTTTTGGTGGCCCCAGAACACCCCTTTGAGCGTGAAAGTGGTCGCGACCGTCGATCTTTGGTGTGTTTGAAGTATTCTCGGTCGGGTCCACTTTCGCACAGAGGTGTCTGGTCTCGATACATTCTTTGTTTAAAAATATGCACCAAAACGCTTTTTTCCAGGGCTGCATAGCCAGATTCAGTGAAAATATGCACAACCTTTGCTGATAATATATTTCTTTGCGGATTTATGGTGTTTTTTTACTTGGATCGAACCCGGAAGTGTCAATACGGGGGCACGATGTCTGGTAAAAGTCACAAGTATGCAAATGAGTATTATGCAAACTTTTGCATATGTGCCTATATTACTACAATTTCTTGTAAACCCTTGCATATTTGACGTACTATAAGCAGCAAGCTTCTGTATGTGACATTTCGGACCCCAGTCACTAAGTTTTCGATCGAAGTATTTGTGGTTTTAACGTCAGATTTAACGGTTCCGGTTGTCATTCTGAGTTTCATTACGAGTTCCTTGCGGCAGATTAAATAGAATTTCATATGTTCATGGGTACATGTTATAAGCTGCAGATGAAAATGTTGACAACTTGGAACGCTAAATCTAAAACATAAAATTCAACACCATCAACTATTCATAACAAACAGCATATATGAATATACATTTGTGCACTTAGTTGCACGTGTCGTTCACAAAAGCCCCCTTTCAACGACCTCAGCTTTCTATAGCCGGTGAACCGTTGGTGGAAGTCCAAACAGTCAAACTACTGGGCATTCACCTACAATCCGACCTACACTGGGAGTCCCATGTTAACAATGTTGTCAGAAAAGGCAGTCAAAAACTCTATCTACTCAGTCAGCTCCGGAGCTTCAACCTTCCCTGCAACGATCTTCTCATATGCTACAAGACACTCATACGACCAGTTTGCGAATACGCCGCCCCCGCGTGGCACCCGGGCCTAACATCAGCTCAACGAGCAAGGATTGAGGCTATACAGAGAAGGGCATGTCGGATAATCTTAGGACCTTCATACACATCGTACGCAGAAGCATGCCGCAAACTTGACTTGCCCACATTTGAAGCCAGACGTCGTACTCTGTCTTACAACTTCGCCAGAAGGATGCTTGACTCTGAGACTTACAGAACTTGGCTCCCACCTTTGCGTGGCGACATAAGTACCAGAGACACTAGATCTAAGCACCTGCTGAACCCTATCAAAACTAGAACAAGTAGATATTACAAC